CCAGGGGTTCTTAAGCAGTCCCTTCACACGGCACAGCAGCTTTGGGGTAAGGATCCCAATCAGATGAGCTTACGTGTCACACGTCACAACAGGGGCTGAGCCAGTGGCTGGCCTGCTGGTTATCTGCAGTGGTCGGGCTGGACAGAGTGGCTGGGCTGCGTGGAACGGAAACATTTGCCACCGTGTCTCCAACTCGCAGCCAGGAAACGGTCAAAGGGTTCAAGTGTGGATTCAGCCTGCCTGTTGTTAATGGACGCCTCACCTGTTTTCAAAGTTAAACTTAAGACGCCCCATTTTATATATTTAATAGAAATAAGTAGGGCCGGGCGCGGTGGCTCACACCTGTAATCCTAGCTCTCTGGGAGGCCGAGGCAGGAGGATTGTTTGAGCTCAGGAGTTCGAAACCAGCCTGAGCAAGAGCGAGACCCCGTCCCTACTAAAAATAGAAAGAAATTAATCGGACAACTAAAAAAAATATATAGAAAAAATAGCTGGGCATGGTGGCGCATGCCTGTAGTCCCAGCTACTCGGGAGGCTGAGGCAGGAGGATCGCTTGAGCCCAGGGGTTTGAGGTTGCTATGAGCTAGGCTGACGCCACGGCACTCTAGCCAGGGCAACGCAGTGAGACTCTGTCTCAAAAAAAAAAAAAAAAAAAAGAAATAAGTGACCTTGGGTGAACCCAGATGACTAACTGGCAACCACACTGGCAGACCTTCAGGAAGAGTAGGATGTTTGCGAGCAATGTCATGGTCAGGGCCACCTGCTGCTGGTCCCAGCCCCCATGGGCTCTGCCCATCCCTGGGCAGTTGTGGGGGGCGGGGCAGCACAGAGGTGTGTGAAAAGGCGCCCTCCTGGTAATGACCATCCTAAGAGTATTTCGCCTAACACCTTGGCAGGCGGCCGTGGCGGAGAAAAGCCTTAACCAGAAAGGCCTCATTCCGATCACTGCTGGCCACAAAGGCCGCAGAGCCACCAAAGCTCAGGGTCAGTGCGCACCAGCCCTCAGTGTCACCCGAAGTGGCTCTCCCAGCACTGGGCTCTGCGCGGGGCTTTCCCAGTAGGCTAGAGCTGATGACCCACTCTTGGGACCCCCGAGTGATGGGGGGTCCTCACGATGGGCTGCTTAACTGCATGAGCCCTAAGCCGCCGCCCTAGAACGATTCTCACCCTTTCTGTCTCTCTGAGAGTTCTGCAAACTTTTACCTGGAGAATGTGCCGTGATGGCAGCAACTAGAAAACAGCCAGGGGGTCCACTGCAGCCCCTCGTGGTTGTGGACCACGCCGTACTGCCTGTGAAAATTTTGGATTTTCTGGACACACTTGTATCTAGATGGCCCTGTTGATAAATCTAACTCATCAGTAAATCCTCTCAGTAGACCTCCAAAATTAACCCAGAATCAATGAAGCTGGGATATTTTCTTGTACATTCTCTTTTAAAGCTGTTGCCATCCGTACATAGGAGCCTTTGCTCGGCCTGGGAGAGTCGTGATATCTGTAGGGCATTGAACCTGCTCCCCGGGACACTGTCAGCGCAGTTTCCTAGTTTCTAGTCTCTTGGTCATAAATGACTTAATTTGTGTAAATCTCTGAACACAGTGCCTATCTCAAAGTGCTTAGATAAATATAACCAATCGTTAATACTATTATGCTAGAGCGTGGCTTAGAAAATGGGTTGAATAAAGAGACATTCAGACACCGCGCTTACTCTATAATGATAATGGTAGCTACATACTGTTGAACCCCTGTGTTGGGCTCTCAAGTCTAATCTTTCGTATATGTTTCCATACGTTATGCAGTCTTTACAGGGACACTGTGGGTAAGCATTATTTTCCTCATAGCTGGGAAAACTGAAACCCAGGAAGGTTAAGCATCTTGACCAAAGTCACGCAGCTGGGCCATGGTAGAGCCTGGTTAAAACCAGGACTGATTCCAGTTTTCCACACGGTCCTGCCGGGGAAAGGAAGTTGAGTGAAGTTTCTTTAGTTTGCAGATAAAAGTTTCTACTTTACTATTTTAACAACTTTCTTACCCAACATAATAAACATCAAGCCCTAGGCCCACTGATGAGGTTGGAAGATGCATTAATTCAGAATAAAGACAGAAATGTCTCCTCTGTTCCGTCTGGTCACTAAAGCAGGCTGTTTTTGAGGCAGAGCCTCACGTATGTTCCCGCAGCAAATGGTGAAAACGCGCTGATGTCAGCCACTTAAAACTGGCATCGTTAGAGGGATACAGTACAATATTTTTATAATAAAAAAAGGAAATCTAACAAAATAAAAATCACTTATAATCTGACCACTCAGCGATAGCTACCGTTTTTCTCCTCTACTTTCCTTATTCAAAAGCCATAATCATGCCGTAGACTCAGCTTTGACTCCAGAGCTTTATAAAATTTGGGGTTATATGATAAGTATTTCCCCAGCCATTAAGTATCCACAGAAAACTAACTGTAGTGGCTCTAAATCAGGAGCTGGCAAACCAATATACCAGACAGTGAATATTTTAGGCTTTGTGGACCACGCCGTCTCTGTCACAACTATTCACCTCCCGCACTGTAGTGTGACAGCAGCCGGAGATAGCACGTACGTGCACTGGAGTGTCAATAAAACTTTATTCACAAAGCAGGTGGCAGAGCAGATGTGGCACATGGCGACAGTGTGCTCGCCTCTGTCTGTGGTGTTATATATTGTACGTGTGGTGCAGACCATAACCCATGAAATGCTTCTACCTCGGGACATTTAAGCCGTTTTCAGTGATCTAACAGTGATGGAAATACAGACTCTGGTAGCTCTGAGGCTACCATCTTTGGGTCCAGATACCCATGTCACTGTCAGGTCGAGCTGCTATTTCCTTTTAGCAGCAGGTCATCCAAGGCCAACCACTAAGACCACTTGGGTCTTGTGGGGTAGAACTATGAATAAGAAATGCTCCCGAGAATACTCCTCCCCCCAGGCAGCCGTAATGGACCACATGGGACCCTTCATCTGCCCACACCCAGTGGCTGGTACTCTAGAGTATATGGTCCCCATCTTGGCTGTGGAACAGGTCACCTTTTGTGACTCCTTCATACTGCCACAAAGTATGTTTGGAATGAGCTCAGGTAAACATAAGTTTAAAAAATAGTCTCAACCTACCAGGAACACAAGTTCAGGTTATTGGCAGAGATTTTTTGTTTGGTTTGTTTTCATCGTAAAGGCTGTGATTAGGGAGGTGACAGAAACAGAGGAGGGTAGGGGACATGGAGAATGCCTCTCCCTGGCAGGTGGGGGGGAGCGAGGGGGCCTCACCAGCCTGAAACCTAGTGTGGACACAGTTGATGGGCCTCAGGGGAGAGGGGGTCCTCGGGAAGTTTGTGTTCATGCTTTTGAGTGACGGGCATTTCCTTGTCAGTTATAGCGTGACAAAGGTGGATGACTCCAGGAGCCAGGACAGTTAGTTCACCCTTTTAGGACCTTAAAGTAACCCCATAGTGAAAAGAGAAAAGAGTTTAATGGTAGTGTGGCCATTGGCCGGGGCGCGGCACTTCCTCAGGCCTGGCCAGCTAGACGTGCAGCGTGGAAACGCGGCGTCCATGAAGATGAGGAGTTACCTCCACAGTGGGGCGGCAGCCAGAGGCCGCCAGGGTTGGTGCAGCAGCCTAAGGGCCTCAGCATTTCTAGGCTGTTGTCTGGAGAGTCACAACCTGAGGTCAGAGCTGTGACATGCTCGACGACCATGTTGGAGGCAGGAAGATGGGCCGGGCCCCTTGGCCATCCTCCTCCTATCAGCAAAATCTTCCCCAGAGGCCCCGCCACGCACACAGCCCTCAGCAGCCTGTGGGTCACGTTGGCCGGCGTGGGGCCACACCAACCCTGGAGCTGACGACCAGCTGGGGAGACAGGGTGGCCTTCTGTCACTCCTGGTCATCCCTGGGACCCAGAAGAGGGTCCTCTGTCCCCGAGGGTGCTGCCCTCGGAATCAGATGGGGAATTTGGGGACACAGGAGGAGCAGGGCAGTGACTGTTGGCCCAGGGCCTCGATGCTTACCCCAGTGACAGCCCGGGCCTCAGCCTCAGTCTCCTGGGCTAGATTCTTAGCTTGCCCGTGGTTAGCCATGTGATACGTGATTCTGGGCCACTCCGTGTCTCTGAGCCTCAGTTTGATTGTAAAATGGGAGTACCTATTCCTGTCGGTTCCGAATTAGACACAATTTACGGAAAGTGCACGGCCTTGTGCCCTGGCTCCCACGCTGGCGCGTTCCCTCACCCACGAGGGCTGCCCGAGTCCCCTGGGGCAGGGCTCCCGGTTTCATGGCTTAAGTTCTCATCCGGGGAATCTGTGTGTTGGATTTGTGTGAAAAACAAAATCCACAGACGATGGGGATGCTATGCTTGGAAGGTATCTGTGCTTTTTCTTCCCTGTATGGGGGAAGAAGTTTTTTAAAATTAAGGTGGCAATTGGCTGTTTACACCTTTTCAGTTCTGCAGGGTTGGGGTGTGGAGGGCGTGGCTGTTGTCCCCGAGCTGAGCCGTTGTTGCAGTGGCCATGGACGTGACGGTGTCTCCGAGGGCCTGAGCTTCACTCGCAGCCCACCTCGTGCGGCCGGCTGGCCCGAGCCCGCAGGCCCCGCTCCCCGCACCGTGAGAGGGACCCGCTAGCCCTGCCCGGGGAGCTCAGCCGGCCTGGCCGGGGCTCGAGTGAGGCTGTGGGAAAGAGCTGCAGGGAGCAGGGCTGCACGCCTGAGTGGTGGGCCCAGTGAGACCCTCGAATGCCCTCGGCCGGTGGCCTGGTGTCTTCCCAGACTCCTGCTGTCCCCACGGAGCACTCACCAGCAGACTTAGCACGCACTTGGCCGCTGGCTGACTGGCGGGGCGGGCTCCAGGGTCAACGGCTTTGGCTTCACTGTGTTCTGGAACGGTCCCCCGAGGCTTTGGGCATTCATGTTTATTCTTTTTCTACGGACGTCTCCAACAGCCAAGAGAGATGACTCTGATATTTCTTTTCACGGACGTCTGTTTCAGAGCTCCAAAGTCCTGGCCAAGAAAGAGCTGGCGTACGTCCCGATCATCGGCTGGATGTGGTACTTCACAGAAATGGTCTTCTGCTGTCGAAAGTGGGAGCAGGATCGCAAGACAGTCGCCACGAGCCTGATGCACCTCCGGGATTACCCTGAGAAGTATTTTGTACGTAGGCATCAGGGCAGCCGTGTTGTAACGGCTCCTGCAGGGCGTGTGTGACCAAGGGACCCTGTGTGCCTTCCATGGGACGCCGTGTGACCATGGGTTGAGTGTGACCATGTGACCACAGGACTGGGTGTGACCAAAGGACCCTGTGTGTCTTCCATGGGACGCTGTGTGACCATGGGGCTGTGTGTGACCATGGGTCGAGTGTGACCATGGGTCGAGTGTGACCTGCGAGCTGTGTTGACCGAGGGCCCCTGTGTGTCTTCCCTGGGATGACGTGTGACTGTGGGGTCGTGTGTGACTGCAGGACCTGTGTGACCGCTGCCCTCTGCCTTCCAGTTCCTGATTCACTGCGAGGGCACGCGGTTCACGGAGAAGAAGCACCGGATCGGCATGCAGGTGGCCCAGGCCAAGGGGCTGCCCAGCCTCAAGCACCACCTGCTGCCGCGCACCAAGGGCTTCGTCGTCACCGTGAGGAGTTTGAGAAATGTAGGTAAGGAAGCTCGCGGTGTCCCTGCGGCCTCCCCGCTCCAACAAGGACAAACGAGCCAGCCGCCCTCTGACAGGCAGAGCTTGTTTCCTGGCGGTGCTGCCCAGCTAACCTGTGGCTAGGAGCTTGGAGCGGCTGCTAAAGGGGACTGGGAACCTGGGGCAGGTGACACATGCACACCTGGCAGGCACCTGGTCGTCTGCGCTCTCGTCCGGGGTGTCCAGGCCAACACTGCCCTCTGCTGTCAGCAGCGGCACCACAGGCTGCATGAGTGTGCCGGACCCCTGGGGCAGCCTGCAGACCCCGGGGAGCCCAGTGGGGTTTGGGGGGCATTTCTTGCCCACCTGCTGGCATCAGATGCCTGTAGCTGATGAACTCTGACCTTATGGTCTGTCGCAGCCGACCTCTGGGTCAGTAAGAATAAGAAAATAGCAGCAGCAACTTGCCACAGGCCTCTGGTCTCGCTTTTGTCTGTCTCCTTTGTGATCCTCCTCTCTCCAGCTCGGAAACACCCTTCTGCAGCCACCTCCTCCCAAATCCCCACTGCCCTTCGCCCCGGCTCTGAAGGACATGTCCCTTCCTGTCGGGGCTGGAGAGGCCCCGACTAGCTTTGGTCCCTGGGGCAGCTCAGTGGCTGCCCAGGCGGCTTCCTCACGCTCCTGAGTGCCGGCCCGCGAGGAAAGGCTGGCTCCGTCCTGGAGGCGGTGCTGGGCACGGCCAGGCCACGTTCTGTCACCAGGACCAGGGCAGAACCTGCCCTCCTGGGCCTGTCCTCAGACCTCCTTGCCTCCTCGGGGGGCAAAGGGCAGGGGGCTCCGAACTCCTCCGGGGCCTGCCTCTGGGATTCAAGTGGGACGACGGGTGAGTTGTCTCTGCGGTGTGGCCACACCCCCCGCCCCGGCCCCCCGGCCTCCCACCAGGACCTAGAGCAGCAGGGCTGACGAACCTGTACCTGTAACAAGCCCCCAAGTGGCCCGTCCACTTCAGGAGCCCCTGCAGTGGTAATTTAAGACCCCCAGGCCAGTGCTCCCTGCCTGGCCCCTGCAGCCTGGTCCCACCATACCCCTGCAGACCTGGGCCCCGAAAGTAGCCCTGCCCCTGTCTGGGGGCTGCAGGAGCCCATATCCAGCCCGGCCGTGGCCCTGCCCTGCCCTTAGTCCTGTTAACTGGTTCCTTCTTCCCTAGGTTCTACCCTTACCTTCCCAGTCACCAGTGTTCCTGCATGGCCCTCTATGCATGGCGCTGTGTGCTCCACGCACAGACGGTGCTGCCTTCAGCCCTGCCTCCACACCCGACCCCAAATAACCAGGGCCGTGGATGACCCCGTAGCTGGTCCCTGCTTCCCCCTCCCAGACACAAACTGCTTGCATTCTGTGCTGTCCAGCAGAGTCGCAGCAGTGTGGGCTCTCCGATCAGGGGGCCTTGTGTTAAATCCTGTTTCCTCTGCTGACCAGCTGTGTGACCCTGAGCCAATTGCCTTACCCCTCTGATTGTAAGTTTGCTCTGAGTTCTGTAAAACCTGTTAGGCTTGCAAGGAAGATTAAGTGAGAAAATATGTGTGAAAGACTCAGCATCCTGTCTGGCACATGATAGCCCTTTAATCAAAGGGGGCCTGTCTTTAAGAGCCCTCGGCGCCCCAACACATGGGGTCCCAGCACCTGGTTCTGCTTTTCCCTGTTCTAACCCACCTCCTCTGGGTTGGACCCGTGAGAGTCCCCGACTGAGTTTTGCTTCAGTTTTGCCCCTGCAAGGCTGTCCAGCTCCCTGCAGCTGATCAAGGAGAGATTCACAACACCCCCTGAATAACACCACGGGGACAGGACATGTGCGACATGCCAAGCACTGTAAGCACCTTACGTGTAGGATGTCTTCACCAGGACCCAGGGATGGCTTTCTTTTTCTTCTTGTTTTCAGTTCCCAGATAAGGGACACAGGCCCAGAGAAGTTAAGGAGCTTCTCCAAAGTGGCTCAGCGAGTCCATGGCGAGCTGGGATTTAAACCCAGGCAGGGGTTGGCAGGGCTGGCAGGTGCTAGTCCTGGTCCTTCTGATGGGCTCTGCAGTTAGAGGCAGGCCCAGTTCGCTCTCTCAAGACACTTCCTGTGTGGTTTTCCTCTGGAAGATGAGAATGGCGCAAATGTTTTAGGCTGTTCTCTGGGGAACCCCTAGGCAGCAGTTCCCAACCTTCTTGGAATCAGGGACGTTTCGTGGAAGACGATTTTTCCACGGATCGGGGTTAGGGGGATGGTTTCGGGATGACTCAAGCGCATTACATTTATGGTGCGGTCACACCTCTCTGCTAATGATCATCTGTGCTTGCAGCTGCTCCCCAGCGCTAGCATCACCGCCCCAGCTCCACCTCAGACCATCAGGCATTAGATGCCCATAAGGGCTGCAACCTAGAGCCCTGCATGCGCGGTTTACAACAGGGTTTGCGCTTCCACGAGAGTTCAATGCCGCTGTGGACCTGACGGGAGTCGGAGCTTACGTGGAGATGCGAGCGATGGGGAGCGGCTGTCGATACAGATGGAGCTTCACTGGCTCACTGCTCCTCCTGCTGTGTGGCCTGGATCCTAACAGGCCAGGGACCAGCCAGGGGTTGGGGACCACAGCCCTAGGGGCTCTCCCCACTTCTCCTGTTGTTTGCATGGGTCCCCGTGTGACAGCGGGTCAGAGGGAAGGGGGTTGGGAAGCCACTGGACTGCATGAGCTCTGTGGTCCCCTTAGTGTGAAACCGTATGATTAGTCACGCTCCACATGACCTGAATGATTGTCACTACAGATACGCCTTTATGCTTTAATGTAATAAATATCAAGGTTATTTTCCAATAGCCCTTACCAGGCAGCTTTTCCAGGGAGGGAAACAGAGGATAGTCCAGCCTCAGTCTTTAGGGAGGCCAGCGTGGTCTCGGGCACTTGGGCGCGGCCCCCAGACACGCCTGCAGGCCAGTGGGGGGGACCCTCCCCACAGGCAGACAGTGGACCTGCAGACCCTGCACGGTGTCGGGCAGCAGGTAGAAGAAAATGGACCTCAGTTTTCTCACAGTTTTTTGAATGTTGGTTCTGCAAATTCCCAGCCAGACTGCGGGCCTTTCTTCCCTTCCCATCAGCCTCTCCCGCTTTTACTAATAACGATTGAACTTGTGGAAACCCTCAGCGAAGTGTTAGCTCATAACTTACTAGCACCGTGGGCCCTGCAGTAGTGCCTGACGTTGTCATCTCAGCAGCCGTGTGACCCAGGCACCCTGACCCTGTTCCTGGGGAGTTCATCTAGTGCTGGGAAGAGCTGGCGGCGGGTGCTGGGATCCACACCGACCCAACTCCAAAACTCCTGTCCTTTCCACCGTGCAGCGCTGACCTGCACTTCAGCATGTGGACGTCTGTTTCCACTGTGCATTTCTCTGCTCCGTTCACCCACTTGTTCATTGGTGCCTTCTTCAGCCCTCTGACCTGATGGCACTTGCTGAGCACAGGCCGGGTCCCAGGCCTGCGACGGTGAACTCTTGACGTAACTGCCAGTACGTGACAGGCTCACTCACCATGGGGCAGCCCCATTAAAATCACAGACTTGTTCTCAGCCACGTTTCAACTGACTACAATTCAATTCCTTAAGAAGTTTCCAGTCAGTATCTTGTCATAGGATAATTTTATAGCTATCTTATTTTTCTAGGGAAAAAATGCTCATAGAATGCTGATGCTGCTCTAACTTAGTATACTTTGGATTAATTTATCTTACTATGTGTATTTGTTTAACACATCAACTGCCATGTGAGTTGTATTTAACTCACACTAGTTTTGGGCCTGGGGACTTGCAAAACATATGTAACTCACACGTCTCTTTACTGTGGGAGCCACGTGTGCAGGACACCGACGCTGCCATGCTGTAGCATGCATGTCACGTGATGGGTGGCCCCCCGGGAAAAATCCTGCAGTTGGTTCGTGAAAATCTTACTTGTTCTTATTGTTACAATTAATGTTGACAATTTAATTGCATATAACTCACATACAGAAAAAAATTTAAAAATCACAAATTTTTCATTAAATTAGAAAGGATTGTTTTGTTTTTGAAGTTTTTATTCTACATGATAAAACACTGTGGCTGCAAGGAAAAAAGTATTTTTTTCTAGCGTGGCAGTCAATGTGTTAAATTTCGGTATTCGTTGACCATGCATGATAGGCTGTGCACATTAGAAAGTTGCAAATCATTGTCGTAGTACATCCAGCTCTGATATTGCAGTATGGCTTTCTAACTGATCTGACCTCAGTAACGACCTCTGCTTTCTATTACTAAGTTAGAGAGGGATTTTCTGGTTACAAAAGATGATACAGGTTCAATGTGGAACATCTGGACAATACAGAAAAGCACGGAGAAGAAATCTATAATCGCACCATTCCTAGATAACCAGTTAGTGATTTGATTATTGTCTTCCAGTGTGTGTGTCTACAAAACAAAATTGGGTTCACACGCTATATACTGCTTTGTATTTGTTTTATTTTTTATAGTTTCAGCTGTATATGACTGTACACTCAATTTCAGAAATAATGAAAATCCAACACTGCTGGGAGTCCTAAATGGAAAGAAATACCATGCAGATATGTATGTTAGGTAAGTCGCTCCATTTCCTTTCCAGAAAAGAGAGTGCCCATTCTAAAGTAAAGAAATCACAGATGACCCAGAGACCTCCGTCCAGCAATGTCTGGTTGACATTTTCTTGTTTGCGATCTGTTCTGCACTGAACTTGTTTACAGTCTGCATTTATACAATGAACTCGAGAGACATATCTTCCTATTGTGAAGGCTCCTTCCCTCCCAGCTACTTCCTGATCCTCTTTCACCAGCTCTTTCCTGTCACAGAGCTCAGGATGGACAAATGGAAGACCTTAATTTCATAGCCGTTTGGGGGTTGAGTGTGAAGAGATTACTTTATTGACCCCTTTTCTTGGAAGATGGGTCTGCCATGTAGAAATACACACAGATACAGGTTTATAAGGAGGCCTAGAAGCAAATGGAAGACACTTTTGCAGTATGTCATTTATGTGTCATATTCCGGGCCATTAATGATTTTATTGAAAACACATCCAGGAGGTATTAGACAAACCAGTTCTCTTTGCCTACTTATCAACTTGGAGAATGGGTCTAACACCTCCAGAATGTCACCAAGATCGGTAGGAAACAGATTTGAAAGATGCCGCAATGGTAAAACACGGCGATTCACGCCTCAAAACCTAATGTGACGGGTCAGGGATGGTTCTGGTTTCTTGTGCTGTAGTCCATCTTCCCTGAAAGCTAACCAGGAGAACCTGAAATGCCACAAATAGAGACCTGCAAGTCCCTGTTAGCCAAGTGGTATATACCCTTCTGATTAAAGACCTTGCTCTGCCAGATTACAACACAGCACAATGAAAAGTCAGCGGCCCATCATCCCTGCTAGGCTATAAAAATGTTCCAGCTGTCCTGGGGAGATATTTTGTTGGACTGGCCGCCTAAGTTAAATAGCCTCCTACCTGGAAACTGCTCTGGCTTTCCCGTAACAAACAGGAAAGAAGCACCACCATTATGTTTTCTAACTGTGCAGGCAACAGTCTGCCTCATCAACTCAGTTCTCTGGCACAGGAAGGCAGGAGAATTATCTACCTTCCCAAAGGAAACCTCCCAGGAGTAAAGTGAGTCTTTATCCCCCATTTGACACCTGGCATGAGCTCCAGTCAGTGGTCAGCGGGGCTCAAGTTATTTGGAGAAATCCCAAGCAATGCTGCAAGACTATTTTACGTCACAGGTAACCGCAACTCTCCAAAGCTTATGCGGGAATTAGGGAGTGCACAGCCAAAACATGACTGTCGGGCTCACCCACTGAAGCCAGTTCACTGTCACTGAGAGGAAGGGTATGGTTTATGCTACTCAACACACATTTTCTCTTGTAGTTGTCCATTGAAAATGATGGAGTCATTTTCGATACAACGTACTAGAACATTAAGGGCAATAATGTCAAGTTATTGAAAAGAACAAAATTGCCTAGAGATCTGGTTTCTAAACCAGAATAGATCAGAAAGAGCAAAGATGTGGAGTATTTGTGGAAGTGCAGTATATGTAGGAACAAAGTGAAAGTATTTCTGGAGGAGCTCATGGGGAAAATTCTAATTATATGAAAAACTGACGTTATTCTAATGGCAGTGGCTCATTGTAATCTGTTATATAAGATGAACTCCCATAGTTTATTAACAGACTATAGTGTGATAGATAAGTTCTAAAAATATATCTTCCTACTAAGATAGTCTTAGGTCACAGTGGGAGTGAAATGACCCATGGAAAATCATGCCAGATATGAACTTTGATGTGGACAAAATCTGGTGTAAAGGAACATTCCTTAAAATCATAAAAGCCAGCAACCTGAGAACAAACAGAAATCTATATGGAACAGGAAACGTGGCAAAGTGACTTCTCCTTTTTCAGAATGGGCTATTTGCAAATGGATGGGCCTTAAGCCCTTGCCAGCACCAGCCCTCAGAGTCACTCCTGAGATGCTGAGCTACCGCTGGGGTGCAGAGTGACTCAGGGGCCCCTGTATGAGCCATAGAGCCTGGGGAAGATGCCCTGGCTTCTCCCATCCTGGGGGAACTTTAGTTCCCCAACATCCACACCACTGATTTGTCAAAACCCTTGCAGAAAGTCTGCCTCAGACTTCTCAAGAGGCCAGAGGAATCATTTGATGAGAGATACTTTGCTACTACCATTAAGTAGTTACCTGGCTAAGAAGAAATCACTAGCATATTATGTCTCATACATAGATTCTGTGGATATAGGATTGTCTCATTTATCCTCTATGGGAGAGGCAAATATTAGCTTTGGGGACCCTCTCTGTGAGGTGGAAGGGAAGATGGAATAAGGCAGGTGTCTGTCCCCTCTTCTGACAATGTCTTTGTGTCACTGAATCGGGCCCTTGGTTGTTCCTTCATGGGCTATGATTGCATTTGGGCCCGTATCTCCCCAATATGGATGTGGAATTTCCCCTCTATCAATTGAATGACTATCTTCCCTTCCACATTATTTATGCTACTTAGATAAAGAACAAAAAATGGCAAGCACTGTTATTTGAAAGTGAATGTTGGGGCGCTGGCTTCTCCCTGGTCTCTGCCTTTGCAGGCGCATCCCGTTGGAAGACATCCCAGAGGACGAGGACAAGTGTTCAGCCTGGCTCCACAAGCTCTACCAGGAGAAGGTCAGTGCTTCAGGGGTCCCTTTCCTGTCACAGCTGTGGGTGTACCGCATGGCCTTGTGGGATTGAGAGTGGTAGCAAGTCTGTTTCCATGGGGTGAGATCTAGAGCCAGTTATTAGTGGTCCTGGAGCGGACACTCTACTTGGCAACAGGGAAAACAACATCAGAAAATCTGTAAAGGGGCTTCACAAAAACAACGAAAGTATCTTATAGGCAGAGTGGACCAAAAATGAGGTAATGGCCCCAATGGCCGCTGTGTTCCTGCCTCTGGTCCTCAGGCAGAATATTCTCCTGGGGTGGGTGTTCTCTTTAGCAATGGATATGGGCTTGATTGCTTCTGAATGAAGAATCTGGCTGGCTGTCAAATCTCAAAACATCTCTAGAATAAGCAGGGATCCACCTTGTCCTCGGCCAGGTTCAGACCTGCTGCGGTGGCCTCGCCCTGCTCCTGTCTGTGCTCTAGCTCCTTGATAGTCCCTTTTCTGATGATGCCTTTAAATCACCATGGCACAGAGCTGGCCATTTTAGCCTCTTTCCTATGTGAGTTATGGGCACAGCTCTCTGGTCTCCTTTTACAGACAGACAAATGACACGTAGTAAATATGGCCTAGTTTACCCTGTCACCAGAGCATGTAATTGTGCAGCTTCCTGGGACCCAGCCTCAGTGATTCTGACTCGGAAGGTGCGAGGTGGAATCTAGAAATGTGCGCTTCTAGGAAGCTGCTGCAGACGGTTCTGATGCAGGGGGCCTGAGACCCGAAGCTTTTTAACAACAAGATTCTGAGTTATCGAGCTTCTGTGCTGATGCACATCTGTGCCCCAGCAGAGAAACACAGAACAATATGAATTCTTCCCCTCCAGTTTCATGCATGAGGCAGGATTTTTCTTATGCTGTTTTTTGGTTTAATCATTGAGGCCGTGTAAGAAATGTCATTTTTAGCAAAAAGAAAAGTATGCTAAGAAAAGGCTTAAGAAATGAATCCTTTTGTAAAGAGCCACACCAAAAAATCCACAATGAGTATAGGCTCCAAAACCCAGCAAATTCCTGATGGGCCCTTACTTTCCTGTGTTCAGGCAGAACCATGGTCATTGCGCAAACCAAGCTAAGGGGTGCCTTTCCTTCTTGTTAAAGTCTCTTAGGATGTTTTCTCTAAACTGTGCTTGCATTTAAATGACAGTGTTCAACCTGGTGGGCTTCTCAAAAGGGTCTAGTCCAAAGCCCTTACACCACCGAGGAGGAAATTAAGGTCCAGAGAATGATGTAATTGGCCCAGGCTTCCAGCTCGCTGATCCGAGCCAGGTCCTTTCTCTGTCCATGGAGGGCTGGACACCCAGAGTCCTGAGTTTTCTCAGACACCCCCTGCAAGCAACACCCTGCAGCTCCCAAACCTCGTCATCTGTGCCGCTTCTGGGTGATGGGTGGGGTGCCACGGGAACAGAAATCAACCTGCGTGGTGAGGCCAGAATGTGCAGTGTGTGTGCTGGGGTTGGGTCCTCCCCTGACTGTGGGTGGCTCAGGCTTCTGCTGGGCCACCTGCAGCGTGGGGTTCCCTTTCACTGTCCCACCATCCTGCCGCAGGGGGTACTGCTCCCCTTTTGACAGGTTAGGAGCCTGGGTGCCCGCCCGGAGTCAGGAAGCTCTAACCCAGGCTGCCTGACGTGGGGCTCCCACTTCTCCCCAGCGAGGGCTGTGGCTGTCCTGCCTCTCCATGTGTCCCTGTGGGAGGGAGACAGCCAAGGTGGTATTAAGAAGACAGTCGGTGCCTACAGCGCACTTTCTGGAAGGTGCTGCACAACCCCAGTTTGGCCGAGCCCACAGTGGTCCCTTGTGTCTCTGAGCTTCCCTCGAGAAGGACCTGCCGCTGACCCCAGTGTCATGTCCCACAGGACGCCTTTCAGGAGGAGTACTACAGGACAGGCACCTTCCCTGAGAGCCCGCTGGTGCCGCCGTGGCGGCCCTGGACCCTCGTGAACTGGCTGTTCTGGGCCTCGCTGCTGCTCTACCCTTTCTTCCAGTTCCTGGTCAGCATGGTCTGCAGCGGGTCGTCCCTGACGCTAGCCAGCTTTGTCCTCGTCTTCTTTGTGGGTAAGTGGGGAGCAAGAGGCTGGCAGTGGTGCCCACCCCGGGCTGCAGCGAGAGGCTCCTGGCACCCGGGGCGGGGAGGGAGGTCGAGTCCTTGCTGTGGACAAGTCCTACACAGGCACTTGTGCCACTGATGAAGAGAAGGCACACCCTGCTGCTGCCTGGGGACTGGGTTTCAGGAGGAGAGCTCAAAGACTCCTGGAATCCCAAACCCCCATGCCGGCTCACCCAGCCTCTTGCTGGACACCCTCCCCGTCGGCTGGTGGTGCAGCTCCTCCAAGAAGCCACCCCCGCCCTGTCCCGTGCAGACAGGTCTGCTCAACAGAAGCATCTCCTCCTCCTGAGGAAGGCTGCATGGTGGAGGCCCAGAGAACCGAGAGCTGGCTCTTTGCCCTCTGGGGAGGCCCGTGCGCTTCCCCTTTGTTGCACGGGGCTGATGTTGAGTGGAGACGTTCAGTAGAAGTTTTTTCTTGGTCCACTCTGGCTTTATTTGATCAGAATTTTCAAACTTCTTCGCAGTGAGCCTCTGTGCACACTGCTGTCTTGCTTTTGGGGCAGCAGAGCCCAGGGCCCTCCTGGAAGAAGCTGCTGCTACTTTAAGATGGAAGTTGGGGGCAGGGCCCGAGCACTGCCTGGGGTGTGGTGTGTGGACCACAGGGGGCATCTCTGCGCCTCCTTGCTCTGGATGACTGTGTGTGTGTCCTGTTCATCTCACAAGGCCTTTGAGCAGGAGTCCGTGTCTCACACACTCCTCCCCAGTATCATCAGCACGCCCCCCGCTGGTGCCAGGCTCCATGGAGGTCTTAGAGTTGGCCCTAAGCAGAAGTCTCCCCGTTTGTAAGTGACCTTGCGGAGATGGGGCCTCGGGCTGGCAGTCTGCTGCACCTGGGCCTGAGGAAGTTCGGAGGCCACGATGCCAATGCTTTGTGAACCTGTGCGTTTCGTTCACTTACTCATCTATCCGTTCTTAAGCATTTATCATGAATAGACTGTTTGCCAGGCCCTGTGAGCTCGGGTGCAGGGACCATGTCTTAATCACCTTGATGTGCCCGGCCGCAGTTTAAACCGACTTCTGAGCGGTGGGCCGATTTACCAGCTTTCCAGTGGTCAGACTGCACTCCACCTTCTCCGAATCCTGCTCTCAGAGGAGGGGCTCAGCCAGTGCAGGGACTTTGCTTTTAGTGCGAGTATTAGAGCGGTGAACAAAGTTGGAACTTGGCAGGCACTAAGTAGATGCTTGAACGCTTGCATTTTCCTGGCTCCTGGGATGCTCTTTATAAAGCTTCACTGAAGGTGCCCCGTGAACAGCGCAGTACGGTTTGCCGAATTCATCTCCAGGGTCCGAGGATGAAAACCCTTCTACTGCAGCCTTGCTCTGTTCGTTTTGATGTCATTTAGATGTTACACTGAAGGATGACGGTGAAGCTGGGATTATGAAATGGCAGACAGCTTCCTTCTCGTGGTTCTCGGTGGCAAATCACCCTGGAGTCTGTCCGGGCCCCTCTTAACCCTCTGCTCTCCCGTCTCTGCAGCTTCTATGGGAGTTCGGTGGATGATCGGTGTGACAGAAATCGACAAGGGCTCCGCCTACGGCAACTTCGACAGCAAGCAGAAACAGAATGACTGACTCAGGGACATGTCACCATCCACTGGGAACTGGTGGCCTCTGCATATCCTCCTTCCTGGGACAGTGACGAAGGCTGGGGGACCCCCTGCTGGGAAGAGCAGAGTCTCGGCCTCTCCAGCCTCAGAGTTTGGTCTCAAAGCCAGATGGGAAGGAAGATGCTCTTCAATCTTTTTTCCCCCCCACGTGCTTTAGTGGGCTTCAGTTTTCTTTCTTTTTGTGTGTGAGAGAATGGGTGTGCGGTCGAGTGAGCCTCCTTCTGTGATCATTCCAAGGGTGTTTCAGGCTGCAGCGGAGGCAGGGCTGGGGACCGAAAGGGGCAAGTGTTCCCTTTCATCCTTTGGTGCTGAGTTTCTGTAACCCTCGATTGCCAGAGCTAGAGTGAAAAGCGCTTTAGGTAACATGACTAAATTAAGCCTCCAAAAAAAAAAAATTAAAGTGCTTGTCTGGGTCACCTGTGGTGTATGTTTACACAGACTGCTTCCCCTCCTTTCAGCCCTTTGCAGGGCAGCTGTGGGCTCTCAGTCTTGCTGCAGTGTCCTGGAGAAAGTCTCGAAGGTGTGTCCAACTCCCTGAAGAAACTGATCTTGCACATAAGAACCATCAAAATAAAGCCTGGGCATCCCGTAGCGATTTGCGAAATGAGCTCGCATCTGCTGTTGCTCTCAGCAGAGATGGCAGGCTCACACTAAACAAATCCCTTGCCCTCTCCTGGCACGTGGAGCTCAGCTGCAGCTCTGCTCCTCCTGGGCTTCTGTCCAGCTCCCATTTTACTCCACTGACGCGTAATCGGCATCCTCAGTGGTCTCTGCAGTAAGGGCCAGTGAGAGGACTCCGCTATCAGTCAGCGGAGGCTAAATGCAAAACAAGAAGGAAAAAAGGCAGCGATATTTTCAAAGGAGAGCAGTTAAATATTGCCATGTCATCTTAGGCTGGGCCGCCAGTGGCACCTGGATTTGTGAGCATGAGAATTAAATAGGAGACGGCTCTCTCCTGTGTGCAGCTACATGCTGCCTAGTACAAACCTCATGTCCGCTGTGGGGACAGAAGGGATGAACTGTTCCATATAAAAGTTGGCCAAACATTATATCAAAGGCATATTATATGCAGAGTCATATTTTAGATGTTTGCACATTTAGTCACTAAGTGTTTGCCAAGCACAACTGAACTAGCTAAGCCGCGGCGTTACAAGAGTCCTAGAAAAGCTCCCTGCTTAAGGGACAACAACGTATCATTGATACAAATGAACTGGAATCTGCAAAAGTAAAAAGGAACAGATCCTGGCTCACCTTGGGGAGAGTACTGGAGAGCCCAGGGCCTGGGGTCACACTCGCAGCACCCCTGAAGGCAGGCTCGAAGAGCCCAGCACATCCCTGAAGCGCAGAGATCCTTGGGCAAAAGCCCCAAACGACAACCTTCAGCCAGAGGGGCCCTTGGGAAAGCCTAGTCCTGTGTAGGTGTGGAGTCCTGTGGGCGCCCCCATCCCCTCAGAGGGACCCTCTGAAGTATCTGTAATGTGAGTTACACAGAACTCTGCAGCTCACTGCTGTCAGACCTGGGCAAGCCCTCTTCCTCCCAGATTCTCCCATCTGCAAAATGGGGATGATAACACCTACCTCCTGGTTGCATCAAGGGTAAAAACGGGCTCACTTTAAGAATCTGAAGAAGCTAATCAAGTAGGGGAGCAAAGATTAGAAAGCTGCCTCCATGTTGCTACTCCTCAAAAATGCTCAGAAATTACCTTACAGTACCCGTCATTCTTCCATTCAATATAGTGCTGATCCAAGTTCTAAACACATACATCCACCCCCCTCCTTCCACCTGGGACTGAGAACGGCACCCACATTCGATTTTTTTCTGAATCAGCTCTGGTACCAAACACAAAACACGACAAAGGCTGCTTACCAATGCCTTAGGTGCCAGGTTGGAGGAGTGCAGGCAAAAATCTCTCCTAGGAAAGAATAGGCAGGCACGATTGTTTGAGCTGCCTTAGAACACAAAACGCAGCGTGTTGGGGAGAGATCCCGACATCCTCCTCATCAGCCGTTTGACCCTTCCATGAAGCAGAACATTGTTACGCGCTTCAGGGACCTGGTTTTCCTTCCACCCTGCTGCCTTAATGACAGAGACGAGCACTGGTACCTCTGTGAAGAATCTTGTCACTCCTCCTCAAATCCATGTTCAGGTCACACAGAGGCCACAATCTCTTCAGCAAAGTACTGTTTTGGCTCCCAGCGTATTTATTTTTGTGTGAATTAAAAGCCCATGGAGAGTTCAAGGCATCTTTCTGTCCCCTAAGTAGAGCACTGTGGACTAAGACACTTACTTTCTCACATCGCCATCTCGTCAGAGCTCATCATCTGCCCGAGAGCCGGTCCTGTCAGTCAGCGTGGCGGAGAACACCACAAACCTGTGCTGAGATCTGGAGAGTGATGCAGGGTGGCCTCCAGATATTAGGGCCATATCCTAGATGACTCCTGCAGCCTAAAGGCAGGAATTTAATGAACGTCTAGGAAACCAAGCCCACAAAGAGGCTCTTTTTTAAAAGACACCAATCATTCGGATGATGCAGCATGAAGTTTGGGGAAAGCAGACCGATTCTGTAACAGTTTACGTGTTAACCACGGAGGAAGCACTAAGGCATGTGTGAGTTAATCACCCTGTTTACTTTTACAGACAAGCTTTTCCACGTGATCACACAGCAGTACTGGAACATCTCCATTGCTGTATTCTCTAAATACATGCAAAACCTAAGAGTAGCTAATGATGTTTTAAAATTTAAAAACATTAGTGGCTTTCTAATACATCTGTAAGTGGAACAGTAATTTAAATGTAAAATCCAGTGATAATTACTGTCCAGACCAAACTTAGAAATCGCTGATGTGACACTACAAAAAGGGCCCCGGCAGCTTCTGGTCACTCCCCCAGTGGAGTGGAGCAGTGGTCTGTCTGGCCCCCAAGCAAAACAGATGGGGCTTTGCACAGGCTTTGGAACTTATTCACGATATGGACAAAAGTGTCGCAAAAGGTAACTAGTGAAAATTCTCCAGGGTACCTACTCCTGCTCAAAACAAGAGACTTAATCCAGCTTTTTCTAAAGCACCGGTCTAGACTTTTCACATATCTACTGGGTTAGAGTGAGAAAAACAAATACTGCGGGTTTAGCAGGTCTGGGAGCGGGGTGGGGGGCACAGGTCGTATGGAGGAATATTTAGTGCTACAATGACCTGCCATTTGTGTTTAAAAGAGAAAGAAAGCAAGACAGGCCACAGTTCTGCCTGCCTGTGCCTATAGCTGACTGTTAGGCCATCATGTCCCTCTCCTAGAGCTTCTAAGGAAGCACCTGCCAAAATGCGAATCTCCAAGTTACTGTGCAGTGGGTCCCTCATGCTGTCCTGTTAGGTATGTGTCCCCTCCATCCGCGGCTGTTTTATAATGCCTTAACTACAGTGGTTCTTGAGTGCTGTTTACAGAGAATAAAATCAAGTGTAAAGGCAACATGCTCACTGATGTGTTGGCATCAACTCACTTTCTGACACCTCCAGTCTTCATCGTGCCTTGGCGCAGGGCAGAGAAGGAACCAAGCCATGACGACAGGTGGTGCCGACCAAGATCAGCCGGCCTGCTGATGTTCCTGGCTACCGTTTTGATAAGTACTCTCACGACAAAAACGGTTCTGCTGGAATGAGAGCAGGACTTGCCCAGCTGAGAGTGCTTCTAGGTCTGCAGAACAGGAGTCAGCCTTCCCAGGCTCGCGCAGGAAGTGCCTGCAGGCCTCCCGCTTTCTCCAGGACGGTAAAGAGACCAGCATCTTGCTTCTCTGCCCCTGCCAAAGAACCACTTAGGGACTTCGGGCTTAAACTCCTCCTCCTCTGGATTCCCCCATCTGTATAAAGATAGGGTGGCTGTGTGGATGAGTAAGAAATTAGTTGCATCTCAGTAGGGTGTTTTCCTAAAAATAGCTTCAGAGATTTAATGGGAAAACAATTTTTTGACCATTTTTTTTTTTTTTTTGGACAGGATAAGTGAGGCTCAAATCACATCCTTAGTGTACATGCTTAACAAAAGAGTAAGGCAAGAAATATCTGCAGGGCCAGTCCCTCTGCCCTCTGAAACCGGACCTGTAAGGAAGGTCAGGGGCTTGGTCACCGCAGAACCCCCCGAAGTCAGCACAGTGCCTGACGGCTCCCAGCCACCCAGGAAGTGCACGTCCCATGTCCCTAACTCACGACCTCGGCATCTCCCACTCCTGCATCCCAGGCTTGGGTTGTGAGTGTTTCCAGAGTTTCAAGTAAATTTAAGCAAAAACCAAACACCCCAGGTGTTGTGAGCCTGTCACAATGGCTTCGGAAAGCACTGGACATAAAACGTGAGAAAGGTCATGGACTGAGGACGTCTTTGTCTCTCTCGGCCCAGGACACTCCGCACCACTCACAGCACTGGTCACCAATCAGCAGGGTGCCTGACTGTGACAGTCACTGTTTGAAATTACCATTATTTTGGTCAAAAACAGGACATCAGAAATTTGACCCAAATGGCACGTGTGTCCTCTTCAGCGCATCATTCCCCAAGGGAAGGGGTGGCCCCAGCTCACTGCCCTGTCCGCACCTCCCGCAGGCCCACCTGGCGGCCTCCGTGAACACTACTACATGAAGGGGGACGCTTGTTTTGCAGCCTGGATAACCGAATTTCAATTGTCTTTTGATTCCCTTTCCTGAAGTAAACAAGAACTTCTCTCAAGAACAATTAGGCCCAAATAAACTTAAGTACTTTACACACAGTCAATCCCCTGCATTTTCCGAGTTACCAGTGACAAAGCAGAGCTGTTCTCCAGGGCAAGCGTTCCAAGTCAGGCATTCCTCAGCGCCTGCAGCCTCATTCTAGTTTAATGTTAAGGCTGTGAATGCATTAAAAAGCAGTTATTAAGCACCTACTTAGATCTTTTCAGTATCTAGAAATATCTCCTAGGGCTGTTAATAAAACTTTTCATTGGGTAAGACTCATACAATTTTTACATTTAATTTTTTTTTCCATACAAAGGCACAGTCTTGTTTTACATGTTAGAGTAGCTATTTTTGAAATTTCTGGCACCTATGTTCTGTTGAATTTTAAGGCGGTGAGTGATACGAATACAAAGTCAGATTGCTGAATAATAATGCCTTTCCACTTCAAAAATAAATGAATTAAATTATATAAATATCACTTTTTTCCTTCTTATATTCCATAGTGTTAGCTTTAGCTATATCTTTGTCAAACACTCTTTGTCAAACACAAAATTCAGAAAATTCATCCATGGAGTTTCAGAATGCTGTTCTATCTGTATCTTTGCAAATGAGGAGGAAGAAAAGTTGATGAAATAGTGCAGGGTAGCTCAGACTTTTTCAAAGTGTTTAAGTCAAAACCCCGCAGACCCGTCGCCCTGTAAGAACGGCACAGCCTAGCACCTAGAGCTAC